ACGGCCTGTCTCCGAGGGATGTGCCACAGAGCCGAAAGTCTGCGCACGCCATGTCTGACGATTTCCCTCCGCTCTGTTTAATTATAGTTTGAAAATGAGATCATCACCAAGCTGGATCATGAAGTGGAAGGAGGCAGAGGAGACGAGCAGTACAAAGTGTTATTTGATAAAATGTAAGTGTTGATTAACATGGGGGATTTATCTCAGAAGATGGGCAGAGACTGTAATTAGATGACAATGAACTCTGTGGCCCCGAAATAATTAAAATGTGTTAATAATGGCAAATACTTTCCATGGCACCTCCGTCGAGTTTCTTTTTCTGGTGTGTGATTAACAAGGTGTGTCTAATTATTTTTTCCCCAGCCTCTTGGAGCACTGCAGGAAGCATAAATACCTTGCCAAGACGGGGGAAACTTTTGTGAAACTTGTCGTGCGCCTGATGGAAAGGCTTCTGGACTACAGGACCATTATGCATGACGAGAACAAGGAGAACCGGATGAGCTGCACGGTCAACGTGCTGGTGAGTACAGCCTGAACGTCACACCCAGGCTTCCCGTGGCCCCGGCCTGAGGCCTTGGCTTGCTTGCTCATCGAGAACCCCCGACGGCCCTGGGGGCACAGTGATTACAGACAGAGCTGCTCACTAAGGCTGGCCGGTGGGAACCCACCCAGCACCTCTTGGGCAAAAGGTGAGACCATTGGCTCCGTAAAGGTGATGGTCTTAAAATTCCCAGCAGGCAGTTCCGCTCCAGCCTTAGAGTTTTTACGGCTCAGAGTGGACCCAATGGCTATGGGTGGATTACTCATACTCTGCCCTGGATGTACACCCCACCACCCTGGAGGGCTCCCTATGATTCTCCCCGTTGCCATGAAGGAAAAGCCCCCTCGTTTTGTAAACGGGGTGGCACCAGCTCTGGTCACGGTTCCTATCGGCTTGGTCGTGTGAACATTCATACCATCGCTAGGCTGTGCCGGCAGGAGCCTTGCCCCCACTGAAAAGGAGGTGCCAGACAGCTGTGCTTGGGAAAACTGCCGAGAAAGCCGGGGTTACACAGAGGAGCACAAGGGCCCGTTCCACTTCCCAGTTGTTTTCTGTACCAGTCTGTGCTTTTCCGTGGGATCGTCATAGCAGAAGGATGGCAGCAATCTCACCCCCTTTATTGCTGCCTAGACAACCTGGTCCAGCGAATGAGAAAGATGCTCATTTCGTCTTCAAAATCTGAAGGCATCTCTATGCAGCTCGCCAGGGGTCTGACACTTGTGCAAATGGCTGGGTTCTGGCGCCGGTGTCTGTGATGTCGAAACTACTGGTATCTGTCCCTTCCGTTTGGTGTGTGAGTCTGGCTGGACTTGAGAAACAGATTTATAGACACTCGCATGTGTATGAGAAAGAGCTTTATGTACAAGAGCAATTGAACATTGAGAAAACATCCCAGCCCAGTCCAGATCAAGTCCATATGTTCGATACCCATCTATAAAGTCCTCTTCAGACTCATGCAACACATGCAATGACGCCGAGTGCAGGAAGATCACAGGCCAGTGGGTGGAAAGTCTCCTGGATCCAGTGGCGGAGGAAGCATCTCAGCTCTAGCAGGGGTCTCCACGTGGCTCCTCCAGCTCCAGGGTTCTAGTGCAGCTCCATGTGTCTTGTCAACAGGATTGTGTCACAAGGAGTGAGTGTGTGTCCTGAGCTATTCATCTCCATGGTGCCTCCAAATGAGGTCATCAAACTATGACCTGATCGACAGGCTAGACTCCACCCACTCACAAATTGACACCAGATTATGTAAGTGCCACATTTGGCCTCCTGGCTGAGCCTTCCCCTGTAGATTGGCCCCGGCTCCCCTGTTTTCTTGCCGCCTCCAAAGTATTCCATCCTGTCAGTGTGCTTGGCGCAAACTAAAAATCAGTATTTCTGGAGGGGTGGAGGGGGTAGGGGATATACAGAAACCTTGTCGGATCATTCTCTTCCCTGCGCCTCATTTCATCACGGTCCCTGTGAATTCTGGAGCCGGCAAAGGGTATTGAAAGGACCATGGACTGTCCAACGAACAAGCAGATCTCCCGTGCAAGAAGGGCAGCCAACCCTCCTTAGAGGCAAGGATGGTGAGACTTCATCTCCAGGACGTGGGCCACGTGGTCAGGAGAGAGCAGTCCCTGGAGAAGGACGTCATGCTTGGTACAGCGGAGGGACAGCGAACAAGAGGCAGGCCCTCAGCACGATGGACAGACATGGTGGCTGCTTCAATGGGCTCCGACCTAAGGACAGTTGCGAGGTGGACCATGCAGGCCTGGGGGGTGCTTCTTTTTGTTGTCCGTTGTTGGATCAGTGAGCCTCAGAACCGGCTGGGCAGCACCTGAGAACAACATGGGTTCTTCCCGTGGAGACCCAGGCAGCCTGGTGTAGGACTGAAGACTCGTGAAGCCCATGTTTCCCACGTACATGGGTTGACTGCCATTCATTGTAAGCAGCATCTCCCTTGCTCAGGAGGCCATGAAGCCTGGGGTGACTTGGCGGCCTGCTCCTGCCAGCCAGCCGCGTCCAGGGTCAGAAAACCACCTGTCGAGAGCCCTGCATGGCGTCGGCACAGGTTCCTCGTGCTGCCGGAGCCTGGCTCCGGCCTGTCTATTTTTACTGCTGTCAGCACGAGCTGAGTTGGGCTTTATCTAAGAAACACACCCAGGACTCCAGAGCTTGTCTGCCATTATTAACTGCCTTCTAATTAGGACATCCTGAATCATTCCATGCCGAGGCAAGCGTTCTATTCTTAACGGTTTCCTGGGGATGGTAGCATGAATCCCAACCTCCTATCATAATGCTTTTATCTTAAAAATAAAATAGATCTATTGAAGATTAAAGGGAAAAGACAGCAGTGGGTATTATAGACAGGCATCCTGTCTCTCCTTGGTCATGCTCACAATGAGTCAAATCTGGAGAAAGTGGTCTACCTATCCATCCATTCATCCATCCATCCATCCATCCATCCATCCATCCATCCATCCATCCACTCATCCATCCATGCATTCATTGATCTAGCTAGCTATCATCTATCTATCCCAGAACCCTGGTGGCAGGCACAGTGGTTTAACTGATGGGCTGCTGACTAAAGGATCAATGGTTCCAGCCCACTAACCACTCCATGGAATTGAGGCTGTCTGTGCCCCAAAAGATTTGATAGCCTCAGAAACCATAGGAACCCTACTCAGTCCTGTAGGGTCACAATGAGTCAAAATTAATGAGTGTGTGTGTGTGTGTGTGTGTGTGTGTGTGTGTGTGTGTGTGTAAGATACTCTTTCAACCTTGGACACACCCTTAAATCACCTTTTAACCACGGAGCAGGTGAAGACTTCCACCCTTGGGGACTGCGGGCTTTCAGAAATCTTTCCTATGAAACCCAGTGGAAGACAGTTACTCCAGAGCACAGCTGGGGGCAGGGAGAAGACACTGATGGGAAGGGAACATTAGGACCAAAGCGATGAGGAGGAGGGCTCAGACTGAAGATTGCACACCAGCGTGATGGCACCCGGGGTGTGGAAATTGTTGAAGGAGAGCCTGCTTTGCTGTGCATACTTTCAGAAAATGCACAACAAAATATGAAAATGAAATAAAGACTTGAAACAACGTCACTAAGCCCCGAGACCTAAAACCTCTTCCCCTTCCCTGAAAGCTTGTCCATGGGCTCTTGGGACCCAACCGGACAGAATTCACATTTGTAATTCGCCAACTAGAATTCCATTACCATCTCCTAATCCACCCCTTTTTAATTATCAGACCCGAGCCTGCTGTGCACCATTTAGCTCTATGCAATTATCAGCACTGACTGGCTCTAGGACTGGCAGAGCCATTACTGTGGATATAGAAGTTATTCTTGGCATGGCCCCTTTACAAGACGAACGCAGACCCAGGACTGGAATTTGAAAACCCTCCCTGCTCTGTTTCACTGATTAATAAGTAACATATTCAAAAGTGACATACATGGAGAAGCTATGAATCGCTGGGACATATGCAGTGGGTCTGAGTCGGGGGCCCTGGGGGAGCCGTGAGCCAGCATTGATGTCCGCCCATGTAGGGCGTAGGGTAACGGGCACAGGACTGCTCCCCCCGCCCCTCAGCCCAGTGGGCAGAGTGAGAGCAGTGTGAACTTTCACGTAAGACACACGCAGGTTTTATGTGGATATCCGGAGCTGGGACGAGCGAGCTGCACTTCTGGAGAGGCTTTGGAGTCCCCAGAAGGGACCGGAGCTCAGCACAAGCCGGAGATAGGCATTCCCATGTATGGAGAGAAGCATGTAAATCACGCACTGAGCCAGATGTGAATTTGTGGAGACGCATGATCCAAAGCTCACCAGAGGACGAACTATCAGAGTTCACAGAGGGCTGGCATGAAAGGGCAGCTTGTCAAGGCTGGCGGGGTCGAGTTGGAACTGAAGGACTGGGCCGCTTCTCGGAGTTTTCAGCCAAGTCACCTCCTTGCCCAGCTGCATCAGGTGAGCTGAGGGGCCTGCGAGCCTCAGACGCAGCCAAACAGGAAGATCTGGAGCCCTTTTTCCTAAGCATTTCCCTCCTTGTGTTCCACACTTGGAATCCATCTTTCTTGGTATGGAGGCACAGCCTGCTTGGTCAGGTTCCACCCTATAGTGCACGCTTGTTTGCAAAGCCCTGTTTCCTTACGGTCTCAGCCAGCGTGCTTTAGCTCACTGGGCGAGTGTGCACCTTTGTAAAGACACCCCTCACTTGTTACCCCTGGTAGTTATCTAGGAATGGAATGAAATTCCACATTGCAGGTGGCCATGATGTTCCTGAGCCTTGGACACTCGGAGAAGTGCCTTTTGGCATCTTTCTGGTCCTTGCTGCAGGGAAGAGATTTTGAAGTGTGTGCACCAATGCCCACCTTCAGAAATGCCACTGTCCTTGGGATGTTTACATTCAGCCAGAAGAGATCCACAGCGTGTAAAAAGGGGGTTCAGGGGGGCCATCGGAAGTCTCCACCTTCATCTTTGTTGGGGTGGACGCACAACTTGCTTGATAAAACTTTGCTCCGTTGCGTACACCATCGAGAGTCCAGGGCCAACTGGGTGGCAGCCACCAGCAATGACAACAACGGGGCTTGGAGACACCCTGCCTGCGGGCAGTTCCTTGTCTACAGGGAGACACAAGGGGGTGCAGGGGCACTGGTGTCCCAAGGGGAGGACACTCCACACCCAGAGTTGCCATGAAGGGGGTACTGAAGGCCGGCCTGCAGTTTTGTGTGCCTGTGTGGTCCCGGCCCAAAGAGGTAGAGGGCACCCTGTGTTGTGGGTGATTCCAGCCTCCGAACCGGGCGCTGTTCATGTGGGAGTGATGCCTCTTGAGAGACAGTTTCCTAACAGCACTGTGCTTTGATTCTTTTCAGAACTTCTACAAAGAAATTGAAAGAGAGGAAATGTACATCAGGTATGTGGAGTCCTGTCTGCATTTGCCACAGCTGCTGCCGTGGCGTTTCCTGGGGCCAGGTGTGTTGCGTGGGGCAGGAGTGTGAGGCGGATGGCACATCCACATCTGTCACCACCCCGTGCGCCGGTTGTCTGGACAGGTGTCTCAGAAGCAGAAACCTCATTGATTACTTCACGGGGCCTGTGTACTTTTTGTTCAATGCGTGGGCCCTTTGGGAGGAAAAGGGCCACCCAATAGAATGTAATGCTTCACAGTGACGCACACAATGAAGTGTGAAATCCAGATTTTAAAACTCTGGCTGGCTGGCTAACTAAATGACAGATAGATAGATAGATAGATAGATAGATAGATAGATAGATAGATAGATAGATAGATAGATAGATAGATAGATAGATAGATAGATAGATAGATAGATAGATAGATAGATGATAGATTGATGATTGATATATAAATGATAGATGATTGATAGATAATAGATAAAATGATGATAGATAGATGATTGATTAGGTAGATGATGGATAGGTAGCTAGAGCCATCAGACCTGCTTTGGCCTATGGCGACCTTATTTGCTTGCACACCAGAACAGAACGTAGGCTTGCCTTGCATTGCACTCACGCTCAGCACGCTTGGTGACTTAATATGTGCAACAGAACACAACAGAATGTAGGCTTGTCCTGTGTTATCCTCATGCGCCACATGTTGAAGTCCATCCTTTGGCTCTGTGCCAACCTTTGTCACCGAGGGCCTCCAAAACTCATCTGTCCCTGTCTAGTGACTGACCCAAGGAGCCCTGGCGGTGAAGTGGTTACGCGTTGGGCTGCCAACCACAAGGTCATTCATTTGAAACCATCAGCTGCTTCTCGGGAGAGAGACAGGCTGCCCGCTCCCAGAAAGATGTATAACCTTGGGAACCCACAAGGGCAGGTGTACTCTGTCCTGCAGGGTCTCTGTGAGTTGGAATTGCCTCGATAGCAGTGGGGTCAGTAGGTCCAGTGACCGGTCCCTCCCAATGACGTGCCCGAAGCACGCGGGTCGGACTGTAGCCTGTTGCAATCCCTGGACTAGTTTTCAGAAGTGGCTCATCAAGGTCTGTCCACGCAGGGGGCCCTGCAGGCACGTGGCAGTGTCCGGCTTCACTGCCGTGTGGAAACCCCACTGCAGGAGGCCCTGGTAGACCAGCGGTGACAGCAACAAATAACCCGCAGCTAACGGGACGCGATGCCACACCCCTGCTGCCAGTGTCTTCCTCACACCCGAGTGGAAAAAGATCGGAGTGGTCACCCCCCACCCCCGCCCCCACAGGATTTCACTCCTGGGCAGGCCTTTCCTCCCGGGGTTGGCTGCGATTCAGCTCTGCTCCTTGGCCACACCTGGAATCCGGTGCCAGGCAGGTAGCAAGGTTACCACTTAGAACAGTAGTTCTCAACCTGTGGGTTGCGACCCCTTTGGGGGTCAAATGATCCTTTCACAGAGGTCGCCCGATTCATAACAGTAGCAAAATGACGTGATGATTTAGCAATGAAAATAATGTTATGGCTGAGGGTCACCACACATGAGGGTGGCGGCATGACAGGGTGGCGGCATGAGGAAGGTCGAGAACTGCTGACTTGGAAGACTAGGAGCGGCCTGCATGCATTCATGCTGAATGACAGGTTTATTACGTCAAAAGCAATTCTCTACTTCTTTCTGTCATTCCTAAGATTTTTGTTTATTTGTTTTTAACATTCCCACCCCACCCCACCCTCAGCAAAGAGCCTGATCAGTTTAAGAAACTTCCCAGAAGCCCTGAGTGGGCTGTTTCCATCCGAAATGTAGGTGCTTTCTTTGTCCACGGCCATCTCCACTGTGGCCATCGGAGTGCCTTCTTCAGGTGGATTTGTGTGCCAGCACACGTGTGTGTGTGTGGTGCTTACTATCGTAAGAGAATTACGGTGGTGAAATATCCCTAAAGCAAAATGTGCCGTGTTAACTGTTCTTAGATACGCTTGGGGTTGGCGGTTTGTGTTTTCCCAGTCGGAGGCAACAGGTGTGCAGGCACTCACAAAGAGCGTGCACACATACTAGTATGTAGCGTTCTCGGCAGGAGAGGAGAAAGCTGGAGCGGATGAGAAGGCGTGAGGAACGGTGGAACGAGTGGCAACAGGACAGCAGGAAGGGGCCTCCTCCTTGCAACAGACCCCTGATGTTCAAACACTGGCTGTGTGTGGCAGGGGGCGGGGTGGGGGCTGAACTGGCTCCTGGGTGCCAGCTGCAGGCATGAGGAGCGATGGTATCTGCAGACAAGAGACGGCACTGGGTGATGCACTGCTGAAGGGTGACTTCGGCTGTGGGCAATCCTCAACACAGATTACATGCTGGCATTCTAACAGCCCCCCTCCCCCACCAATCTTGGCAGGTATTTGTACAAGCTGTGTGACCTGCACCGAGAATGCGACAACTACACGGAGGCGGCGTACACCCTCCTGCTGCACGCCAAGCTGCTTAAGGTAACAGAGGGCTGCACGCGCAGGTCAGCCCGTGTCTGAATTTCTCCCTGTATTTGCTTCTCCGTAACTGATCCGAGCACTCAGACGGATGGACGGAAGTTCTCCCGGGTGTTGACTACGTGCCAAGACTTACACAATCGCATCCAGGGACTGTGGACTGGACACCCCCGGGCTTGCAAGTGCAGCTTTAGGAAAATGCCGCAGGGGGCTGGCGTCAGCGGCTGGCGGCTTGCAGGGGCTTTGATGGCACTGGCTCGTCTTACCGGCAGGATGGGCTCTGTGGCAGTGGGAAGGCACAGTGGAGAGACAGCCCAGGGGTGGGGCAGCTAAGAGATAGGATGAGCATGCCCCTTGTTAGCAAGGAGTGGGGAAACCAGACCCTGACTCTCCAGTGGTGCCCATAGAGACCTCCTGCTGGGGCTCTACCTGATCCCCCTGGCCAGGGCTCCTGGGACTGCTCTCCAGGCACACCTCTACTTTAAACATTTTAAACTTCAGCGAGTCCTTAGACCGGCTCATGGTAGCTTCATTGACAACTGGGGGGGGGAAATGTTGAACTGGATAAATCAGAACACTGATTATCCGGTTGGGTGGCGTTAACCTACGACGTAACCACTTCCCTCCCTTGAATCGTATTTCTCAATCCAAACCAGCGTGTGAGACACGGGACCCAAGCGGGGATTGCAGTTAAGGAGCATATTGTGTCAGAGGGAACCTCTGGCAGGATGATTTGGGGCTTGGGCCTGATCCTGAAATTCCCCATGGCGCCCGTGCCGCAAGTGGAGACAGGCTCCAGTGGAAATTCCACAGGTGATCATTGGCCTCGACCTCAAACCCAAAGAGCCCGTGGCAGAGATGATGCGAGAAGAGAAGGCTCGTGGAGTCTGGAGGCCTCGCCAACACCCCTTCCGAGCCTGGCCGCTCGGGCACCCCTCTGGTCTCTTCCCCATATAACGCTCCCCAAGGCACAGAGATTTCTGATGGCATGCCTGACACCAGGCATCACACTGTGAATTCTGATGGCCGTCCATTTGCTAGAAACCCAAACTTCAGTCACAGGTATTTTTACAAATGTGAAGATGCGTCTTTCACACCAGGGAAATTAAAATGGAGTTGACAAACTGCTGGGCCCCTGTTTCTCCCTCTGTCTCATAGAGAATAAACTTTTATGTGAGCCTGTCTGTGCCATATATATGTAAACATATCATTTGTTGAATCCCTGGATTTATGGACTGCAGATGGATTTGCCACAAACTGCACAGTGGCTTATTTCGCGGCAAAAATCAATTACACCGTCCTTTTCCTGAAAATTGGGAGAGCCTCGTGTCCTCTGTTCACGCCGTCCGTACTACTGCAGTTTGCGATTTTTCTGAAGTATGCTGTGATATGGCTCTAAATGTGAATTCACACTCTTTAATCAACTGAGGGCCATGCTTTGTATTGCTATGAAAGTCCTTTCTTCACTGTGGCAAGAATATCTTGGATCGTTAGCTTAGCACCTCAAACAGGATCTCCTGTTTTCTGGGGCAGGGGAAGAGGGATTGCCAGCCAGCAACCAGCCTGTCGAGTCTCTGTTTAAGTGAGATCCAGTTCTACTCCCCCAATCGAGATTTAAAAGAAACGCGAATCCGGGATGAACTTCCTTGTTCTGACTTGTTCTTTTCTAGTTGCGTTTCCGAATTGTCTCAAACTGACACCCGTATGCTCCCCCCGTAAAGGGGTAACCCAGCTGTGTTGTGAACACTGCAAAATGGTTGTGTTCTGATTGTGGCAGGCAGAGGCAAGCTCCATGTTGAGGTGAACAGCTCTGCGGAAGAATGAAAGGCCTCTCACTTCTACCGGGCTTTCCTGGGGACAGGCAAACCTTTCTGGCCCTCTCCCCTTCACTCTATTTCTTGGGAGACCCCAAATTCCATGAGAAATGCCCAGGCTCCCCCGCAGGGTTGGGCAAATAGTGAGGGTGCATTGAGAGAGCCTTGCGGGAGGCACACTTGTCCCTGGACTCCCTCACCCAGCCCCTGCTCACACTTTGCTTCTGCCACAGTGGTCGGAGGACGTGTGCACTGCCCACCTCACCCAGCGGGACGGCTACCAGGCAACGACGCAGGGACAGCTGAAGGAGCAGCTGTACCAGGAAATTATCCACTACTTCGACAAAGGCAAGGTAAAGCAGATCACAGCAGTGTCCGTCTATCTGTTGTCCTTTCTCTGCACTTGCCTGCAACATGTACACACCCGTGTGCCTCCCGATGCTGCTGGGACAGGAGATGTGTGACAAGGTGTGCGCCGGGGTGTGCTGGGCAGGGTCTTACAGCTCGCATGTGCTGAGTAGAACTGCCCACAGAAGAAACAGGCGGCCCTTTGGTGGTTGCTCTGAAAGCAAGGACTGAAAAGCACAGGACTTTTTTGCAGTCTCTGCTGGGTGAGTCCCACCGGGTCTCCCAGCCAGGTGTTTCTGGGCACAGGTTCCTGGATGGCTGGCAGGTTTTCCCTGTCAGTGAATCATTAATTCCACGGCCAGACAGCTCAGGGTCCACCTTGCCTCCTTCTGGTTTAATTGGCTCAGGCAGAATCTGATGATGTTCCTTCGGCTTCTGCTGAGAAGGAACCTGCCACGCTTTCATCAACTGGCCATAGATCTCACCACTGTCACTCTTGGGCTTCAGACGGGCCGTGACTCTAACAAGGCGCTGGCTGCGCCCTGAGAGCTCAGCAAAACTGACCCCAAGTGACTCCGGGGCTCTGTGTGTGGATTCTGGCCTCAGTTGCCTGCTTGGTATTTTAGTTTGAGAGGTCTGTGCTAGAAGACCCCAGAAGTGGCCTCAGGCAAGGAAGGCGGCTGTCCCTCCCTGAGCCTGGAGACATGATTCAGACCCTCTGGGAAACAGTGACTGATAGCCAAGCAGCATCCCTTTGGTTATAGCACTTGGGCCCTCCTTCTGTCTGGAAGGAATGGCTGTTCGGGTTTTGTCCGTTCCCACTGCCTTTGACTTGTGGAAAAGAAATCCCAGCTCCCCACGACTCCGCGCAGTCAGCCGAACCGCGCTGGAAATAAAGATCCCAGAAGGCGCGTGGTTGGCGCACATGCAGTCCGACGGTTGCCCCAAATGAGGAGACTTCACGAGGATGGCCGGTGGGGAGGGGGAGGAGTCTTGCTGCTCAGAAAGCTGATGAAGAAGTGAGGAAAGTCCCCATCCCAGCCCCACATGCCTCTGGCTCTCCATTGATTTAGGGAGGGGCGAGTGGGTGCGAGGGGCTGGGCCGAGCCTGAGATGGGGACCCGTAGGCCTGAGACGCCAAGAAACAGAAGTCATCAGGGCCTGAAGGGGCGCAGGCCTTAATGAGGGGCTGGGGACCTCCTGGTGCCACCACCACCAGACAGGGGGCTGGCTCCACCGCCACTCTGACAGCATCTCCTCCCAAGCTCCTTGGGGCCTTTGAAAATGGCCAGCCCCTGCTGCCTCACCCAGGAGCTGTGCCTCCTTGCTGTGTCCCTTTCTCACGCTTCTCCAACCTCCCCCCCCCCCCAGAGGTCTTCTTTTCCACTAGACACCGCCCGCCCGCCATGCTCACCTTGGCCTGTGTGTTTGCTTCATCCACATGCTCCCCAGAACGCAGTGAGCTCTGTGGAGACAGAAGCCGGTGTTTACTCACTCCAGAAGTATCTACTGAATCCTTCTGGAGGCTGCAAGTCTAAGATGAGGTGTCAGCCATGCTGTGCTCCCTGGAGTCTCCAAGGGAAGGTTCCTCCTGGTGCCCTCCAGCTCCTGGTCCCCCTGACAGCACTTGTTGGTCTTTGACTTGAAGATCCACCACTCCCGTCCCTGCCTCTGGCTTCATGTGGCCACCTCCTCTCTGTGACCGTCCCTGCACCCTTCTGTGTGGCCTGTGTTAATGAACGCTCTTCTCCAAGACTCACTGCCATCCAGCAAGTCAATTCTGGCTCATGGAGACCCATTGACAGGAGTAGAAAGCCTAGTCTTTCTCCCGTGGAGCTGCTGGTGGTTTTGAACTGCCGACCATGAGTATCGCAGCCTAATGTGTAACCACTACACCGCCAGGGCTCCATAGTCCTATACATAAGTCACATTCAGTTGCAGGGGGCTAAGACTTCAACACATCCTTTTAGGACAGTCGTTCTCAACCTTCCTAATGCTGCGACCCTTTAATACAGTTCCTCATGTTGTGGGGACCCCCCCCCAACATAAAATTATTTTTGCTGCTACTTTATAACTGTAATTTTGCTATTGTTATGAATCAGGTGACCCCTGTGAAAGGGTTGTTCGACCCCCAAAGGGGTTGGGACCCACAAGTTGAGAACCGCTGTTTTAGAAGGACAGTGTTCAACCCATAACACACACCTCATTGCTTATTTCATCCTCACAGTCTCTTTGCTTAAGCACGCTTGTTTGGGTCAGTCTGAGTCCTAACTCGACCCTGGGCCTGTGAGGATGCCGACAGACTGACTCTGTGATACCCAGCATCCGCCCAGTGTCCCTCCTGATACGCCACTTCTGTCACATGCCGGTCATCCAGCCATCTGTGCTGATGTCCCGCCACCACCCATGTCTCTGAGTGCCACCACGTGAGTCGGACGCTGACTTGATTTCAGTGCCATGTCCACCACAGAGGCTGTAGACTGGACCTGTCCATCCTAGGTGACCATCCCACGGAACTGTTCCCAGTCGGGTGGTCAGAGCCGCTCCTGGAGCGAGCAGTCCGGCCGCAGGCACTCAGAGGAGGCCTCTGGTCCTGCTGTGCTAGGTGGTGATTGCTGGGTGCCACTGAGCCTGTTCTGACACCCAGCGACACTTTGTAACAACAGAGCAAAGCCCTGCCCAGTCCCGCACCATCTTCACAACAGCTGTTGTTTGCCACGGCTGCAGCCACTGTGTCGATCCATCTTGTCAAAGGCTCTTCTGCTTTTGTGCTGAGCCTCAACTTGGCCAAGCACGATGTCCTTCTCCAGGGACTGGTCGCTTTTGACAAGGTCAAGAGTATCCTCGCCTCTGAGGAGCATCGTGGCACCATTTCTACTGAGACGGATCTGTTGGTTCTTTGGGCCGGCCATGGTACGTTCCCGAGTCTTCTCCGGCCCCACAGTCCAAATGTGTCAGCTCTGGCGTGGAAGGACCTTATGGAAGGGTAGCCCCCATCTCAGCAGCTCACCTCTTTTGCACGTTAGTGATATTGCCTGGCAGTGACAAATACTTAAGGGCAGTTCTCTCTCTCTCTCTCTCTCTCTCTCTCTCTCTCTCTCTCTCTCTCTCTCTCTCTCTCTCCCTCTCTCCCTCCCTCCCTCCCTCCCTCCCTCTCTGTGCGTGTGTGCCTGTGTGTCTCCTGGGCCTAGTTGATTCTCAGCACAGAGACTCCAGGACCAAGGGAGGCATTCTCTCCCCATCTTCTTGGTGGGAGTGAGGCCCCCTGTTTCCCCCTCTGGAAAGTCTAGCAGGACAGCAGACTGACCATTCCCCTCATTAGGGTTCCGTCTACCTTATTTTCATGACCCCACCTCCCCTAGTTGCTTTGCATCTTATTGTATAATTAGCAAGCTATCTAATCCCTTTGATGGACTATGAGTACCATATTTGCATAGTCCCACCCACTCTTTGGGGGTTAGTTACAAGAGTGTGGCGGAAGGGCCACTTAAAGCAATTCACTGCACTGCATGGAGTGAGAAATGATCCCACAACTCACGGGGAATATGCAGAGCTGTGCAAGCGTACACGGCACAGCTGCTGAAAGGGTGTATGTGTTGCCGGACACTTCCTCAACCAGGACAAAGTTCATCATTTTTAGCAAATGCATCAAGGTAAACAGACTAAGGCCATTGTTGGACTTGGAGATCCATGGTGGCTGGGGACCATGATGTCATACAACTGAAACTAAGGCTGTCACCCACCATGGCTCCTTGCTTGATGCCCTTGAGGGAATGCCCTCTGTGTGCTTACTCTGTGGGACACTGTGCTTCCTGGAGCCCGTCTGCAGTGGCTCAGAGAAGCAGGACCAGTCTATGTACTGATCCAACCCACAGCCCATCCTGTTGAAGCAGCCTTGAGTCCATTGTGATGGGTCTCGGGTCAGCATAGAGTTAGATCTACATATACAGGGGACTCAAAAATGTCATGGAAAAATGGAGCTCAGAGATCATGGAATTTTCCCACGAACTTTTTGAAGGCCTGTGTGTGTGTGTGTGTGTGTGTGTTTAAGTAGTCCTGATGCTGCACTAGGTTAAGCATTGGGCTGTGACCAGAGGGTCATAGGTTCACACCCACCAGCCACTCCATGGGAGAAAGATGAGGTAATCTCACCCATGACGGTTTACAGTCTCCAAAACCCTAGGGAGCAGTTCCGTCCTGCCCTATAGGCTTGCAATAAGTCCATGCTGAATCAGCCGTGGTAGGTTTGGGGTTGGAGAGGCCCCCAAATCCAAGACCCATTACCACCAAGTCAGTTGTGACTCAGAGTGATGCTGTGTGGGGTTTCCATGGCTGCCAGTCTTTGCAGGGGCAGACAGCCACCTCTTTCTCGTGAGGAGTGACTAGTGGGTTTGAACTACCAACCTTGGGGTTAACAACCCAGCGCTTACCGAAGTGCCACCAGGACTGCTTTGGGGGTCATATCGCTAGCAACAGAGAGAATCTACGTTAGGGAACTGGCTTATGTCATTGTGGGGGAGCCAGCGGGCCCCCAGTCTATAGGTCGGGCAACAGTCTGTAGACCTCAGCTGACCTGTGTCCCAGAAACCATTGTTCTGGTGATGCAAGGGTGAAGAGCGGGCGGGTTCTGCCCAAATGTCCACTCATAGTCCAGATGCACAACACACTCCAGGCAACAGCCTGCTCCGTTCTTACGAGGTCCCCCCTTCCTCGGGAGTGGCCGGCAGAGCAGGTCCTCTCGAGCCACTGGCTCCGGTAAAGACATCGTGGGCTGCTAAGCAGAAGAACAGAGTTTGAAACTCCCCGCTGCTCCGCAGGAGAAAGACAAGGCTTTCTGTTGCTGTAAAGACTAACATTCCCGGACACCCACGGGGCAGTTCCAATCTGTCCTTTAGGGTCTCCGTGAGTTGGGATGGACTTGGTGGCAGGGAGCACATGTAGACTAGTGTGTGAGCCAGTGGCAGGGCACCTGGGCCCCACACAGTGGACACAGCAAGTCACCATC